TGTGTGTGTGTGTTGTGTGTGGGTGATATGTAGATAGATATGCACACACACACACACCCCTACAATATATATATTCTTATAGTTACATATCTATGTTCTTATAGTTAAATATCTATATATATGTATAAGTATTTGAATAGCTATTTGTATATCTACATTTTTATAATATTTTTATATAGATATGTGTATATATGTATATATAGATATATGTATATGTATATGTACGTATACAGATATGTAACTGGAAGACCCACTTGGTTTCTTGATTAGAGGTGCTTTAGGTTCTTATGTTGGTAAACCAAATAAAGGATTGGTTATTTCTCTTGCCCAAGAAAATATTCCCAAGGCAAGTTGTCTTGGATGTTGGTAAACCTTAACTACAATATAGGAAGCATGATAAACTCCACTTCTACAACTATCTCTCCATGTATTAAGCCTCCAAAACCCCTGAGCCTAAAAAATCTTTATGAAGCCCTAGGTCCTTAACACACATGAAAGTTTTGATGAATAGAAACCTTAGAAGCCCTAAACAACCTCAAAACATAGAATCAAGTGGTTATTGCATATTTTTAAAATATGAATGCTAAAATTACATTGATTGGCCCTCAAGCTAGGTACTGCATAGTTTCTACTTGTTCAAAAACAAGTAGCATGGTTATTCTTGAATACGTGTACTTTAAGTGGGAATTAACAAGTAAAATTTATATAAAATTGAAGAGCCAGAACATAATTAGCAGAGAACTGTAGAATTACAGGGGACAAATATCAAGGCTGACACTTTTAGGGCCTACAATGTTATCATTATTGTCCAAATGTTAAAAAAAAGAAGAAGAAGATATTTTATATCCAAGCCATACCTCATCACATTATGCAGTTTTCAACATTCATGACTTTAAGCATAAAATACACTGGCAAACTAGAGACAAAAGCAATGGGCAAGTATGCCACGCACCGCAATACGGAGATTAGATTAATATCAAAATAAAATAGTACAGTAGTTTGATTATAAATTAACATGAAAAGCATTACTGAGTTGCTTGCAAAAACAACATCACCAGCAGCATAAGAAGAAGAAGAAGAAAGAAGAAAATCCATAAAACAGGGAATGCACCAGCTTGTGCTCAAAAAGTAAATGGGGTTAATGCCCACCTCTTACCAGGAGATCAACTATTTCCTACAGTTAACATAAGAACCTAAAATCTAAAATTCTAATACCTAAACAAGTACACTCTCCCTTCTCAAACAAAAATGATAAAGCATAACATTCAAAATTTCAGCGTTTCAGCTTCTAAGCAGCTACGTTTAGGTGGAATTCCTTGGCAAAAAACGCAACACTAAAACACCAAGAAGGTCAGAACAATCGATTTGGATCTAATGCCCGCAATGAAACACGAGCAAACACCATGCGATCCTTCCATTGCCACAGCAAGATCCAGCCATAACGAGTCTCGAAACGAATATCAACAAAATAGAGTCGAAGAAGATCTAAGGACTTCAATCCAGAAACTAGGGCAAAGGATCCATCAGAGTACCTTGTGGTCGGACTCCGACGCCAACGCCGGCGAGGCGGTGAGGATAACGATGGCGATTCCGGCGGCAAAATGGGTTAGAGATCTCGCTGTAACGACCGTGGCGGCGGTAGATCTACGATGGTAAGCAAGATTTGCTTAAGCGCGGCGTGACGGCGACCGGGAAGAGAGAGGATGGTCGTCCTCTCGAGAATTTCTAGAAAGTCGGAAGCCTTCGCTTTAAATCTGAGCTGTGAACGATGAAAAATGAGGTTTCATTGAATAGATAAAAACCACATTATTTTTAGTATTATTAAATAATATATCATTTGTATTCGAGTTAAATATATTGATTTTATAGGAGTTAATTACTGTTAGGGTGTCAAGAAAGCTGTTGTTGGAAGAAAAACTTGTTAGGATCTTTAAATAGCTCGTGTTTAAATTATTTTTTAAGTGCAGGGCTGTAAAAGAAATGAGTCTCGACTCGTTTCAATTTGGCTCTTGCTCGAAATGGCAATATATTTGTGTTCGGCTAGAATAACATATTCATGTTCTTGTTCGGCTTGAAGGTAGAATATAAAATGCCTCGAAATTACACCAATAATATCATGGATGGTGGAATAACACCGACAACACCCGAGAAACACCAGCAATAACACCTGAGTAACAATCAAATAGCTTGTGTTACTCAGGTGTTATTGCAAGTGTTACTCGGGTGTTATTATTGTGTTACCAGGTGTTGTTACACAGTGTTATTGGTGTTATTAGGGTGCTAGTCTGGTATTATAGAATAATACCGAGGAATAACACTGATAACACCGTTGAATAACACCAATAATACTAGAATAATACCGTGAAATAACACAAATAATATCAAAATGCACCAATAACACCACGAAATAACACCAATAACATCGTGGATGGAAGAATAATACTGATAATACAACGGGTGTTATTTAGTGTTATTCCGTGATATTATTAGTGTTATTCGTGGTGTTACACTACGAAATAACGTCAATAACACTGAAGGCAGAGAAATAACACTGGCAACACAACGGGTGTTACCGCATAATAACATCAATAACACCGCAGAATATTGAATATATTTATATTTTTATTTATTTATTCATTTTCGAGCCAATTCGAGCCGAACACGTGAGAATAAATATTTGTTCGTGTTCGACTCGTTTATATTTCGAGATTAAAAATTTATTGATGTTCACAAGTTGTTCGAGAACAACAAGCAAGTTTGACAGCCCTAATTAAGTGAGACAGTTAAATATGAACAATTTCTAAAGTGGAAAGAGCCCAACACTAACAACATTTTCATCATACTTGTTTGACTAATTTTAACTCGAAATAAGAAGATTATATTATATATATATATA